CCCCCTCACATGGCCGGGCCGCGCGAGCCACGTGCGCGCTGTGTTTACGTTCCGCGGCGCGCGGGCGGCGGTTGGCTGGGCGGGCGCGTGACGCGGCATTACATAATGGGCGCTGAGGCGGCGGCGGCGGGCGGGGACACGTGAGGCCGCTCGGCTTGGTGACCCACATTCCCCGGGGCCGCAGGGACACGTGGGGGCGGGGGCGCGCGCGCGCGAGCGAGCTGGGAGCGCCGCAGCCTCGCGGAGGCCCCGCCCCTTTGGAACTCTCCGGGCCGTGACGTGGCCCGCCGCGATTCCCGCCTCCCCCGCGGGGTTGCACACTGCGGAGGAGGCCGCGCCTGCGCGTACTGAGCCTCGCGGCCGGGCGGCGGGGAGACGGGGCCCGGCGCCGCAGTACCCTGGCAGCCGCGTGCACCGATGGGAGGTACCCCTGCGGTGCAGAGCCTGAGCTCAGCGGACGCTTGGGCCTCAGAGTTGGTGGATTCTGGAGTGCGGGGCCAGGGCGCGGCCTCAGCCCAAATAGGGTGTCTTGGGGAAGGCTTGAGGCTTCCCCGGCGCTAGACCCTCGAAACAGATCAGAGATGCCTTAGATCCCGGGCGACGCGGGGCAGACGGGGTTACCTAGCTCTAATTAGGTTGTTACCCTCCTTGATCCTCCCCCACAAAAAAAGGTTTTGTCTAGGACATGACACCTTGCCATAAAAACGGCTGGAAAATCCCCATGGGCTGGAGCCTTACTGTAAATGGCTCACACCCAAAGCTAGTCCTTTAACTCTTGTATGAGCAGGATGACTCAGGTGATCCCAAGTGACTTAGAGACCTTATTAAGACTGGTCACTGATCACATCGAGTCATTCTTTTAAACCCATGGATCAAAGAAAGCCCTTTCTCGAATCTGAATCACAGAATCTGACAGTTATAAATATTTGTCTCGTTACACTTCCTGTTACATTATTACAGTAATACTGTTCCCCCTTTTTGTCTTCACTCAAACGATGGCCCTTACCTCTGAAGTCAGTGAAGTTATAGAAGCCAATTTTAAATTTTTAAAAAGTTATCTTCACCAAAGGCTATGTGTCGATAATGTTGGATTTTCCACCAAAGATAAGGTAATTGTCTGCGTTTTAATTACCCATAGCCTTAGCCTTTGAAGTTATTTTTTAGAAGTGGGTAAGGCTATCACGAAATAAACTTGATTACAATTTAGATATCCTCAGTTTTAGCCTCTCCCAACCCAGTCTTTAGCATGAATGGATTCTTCCAGTTTTGCAACCTCATGTAAGGCAGCCAGGCTGGTTCAGAGTGTCTTTCTGGTTGAACCATCCAGGAACGTTATCACATCCTAATCTTGCCTTTTGGAGCCACACATTATAAAACTTTGGTTTGGATGACTGGTAGCCACCCAGAGCTCTTACATTTCCAGTTGTCATTCGTCCCTTGGTCCTTGTCCTGTTGTTTGTTCAGATCACCCTTGTTGCCCTTTGGGATGTAGCACCCAGAAGTGAACAGGTTCCCGCTGAAGTGGTTGGATAGTTACCAAGTTCCATGTTTTGGATTCTGCTGCAAATGAATTCTCTGGCAGGCTTAGCTTTTGTGGCATATTGCTTTGCTGACTCATAGTAACCTTGCAATCACCTTTTCCTCTGAACTATTTTGAAGCTAGGTTTCATGCACTGTGCAGACAATTGTTTGACCTGAAAACATAGGAATTTGCAGTTCTCTTCTCAAGATTTTTCACTTTGGTTCCAAGTTGAAGATGTCATAGTCTGTTGCTTGTATATTAAAAATTTCTGCTTTCTGTCTGAGGGTGCTATGCTAAACATTCCCTTTTAACTTTATTCAGATCATTGTGGATGTTGACCAGGGTGGGGCCAGGTTCAGTGTTCCGTGGTGCACCTCTGACCCTTTCCCTTTTGATTGATGTTAACCAATACACATTCATCTGTGATCATTTCATCTAACCGTTCTAGAATTCATGATGAATTATGTCTCTGCCCTCTCCATGACTACTAACTCAGTTATGAGGTGGTAGAACCTGACTATATTTTTGCCATTTTGAGTGAGTGTACCAGGTTCTTCATATTAAATGAAACTCACGACACAAAATTCATACCATGACTGTAATTCACATTTTAAAAATTAAGGAGATATCCCCACATAGTCCAGTCTTATCTTTACAAATGTGTGTTCTACTGTATTTCTCTAAACTTTGAAAGAAGACATCAGAGGGAGGTAGGGGTAAGACAATCTTCATGTGAAAAGAGAAGTAAGGTAATGGAAAGAGTAAGAAGTGAAGATGGAAGTTTTGTGATTAGTTAGTGGGATAACAGGATCCAGAAGGTAGTATGGAAATGGACCTACAAAGAAGCCACTGGGAACATATGACATTCAAAATAGAAAGAATAGGGAGTTAGTTGAGTGTGTGTGTTTAGAAGTCTGGGATATAGGCCAGAGGTGCAGGAGGTTGAGAGGATTCACCAAAGACAGAGTGGGAAGATACACTGCTGAGGGGAGCAGCAGGCTGGTCAGGAGAGGTCTGCTGTGTCTTATATGTGTCACCTCCCTGGCTGTGTCACCTCAGGCCATAGTGGTGATGGCACCTTAACCCCTACGCCACCAGAAAGGCCCTGGTCATTTTTAAACTGTTCTTATTGAATTCATCCAGTAGAGTGATGGTAAAATAATCACCAGTGGCTGTTGAGCATTTACTATGGGCCAGATCTTTTACATGTGTTACTACTTTGACACTACATTAATTATTTGAAGGAGGTTACGGTTGTCAGCATCTGAACATGAAGAGTTAACAGATTGAAGTTAAGTAATTTACCCATGCAAGTGGCAGAGTCTAAGATTTTGACAACAAAGTCCACCTGGGTCCCCAAGCTATCTACTATGCTTTAATAACATTAAGTTCAAACAATATTTGAAGGTATATGTATGTACAACTTGGCTGTTCTGTGCGCATGGTCCTTTTGGCTTGCAGTGGGGTAGGGTCATAGTGATAGGAAAGGAACCGTGTCCACAGAGCCTCCCAATTTCATCAGCGCTCTATTTTAATTTTGTTGCTGGTCAAATCTGACATTCCTACACATGATTTTACACTTGGCTTCCTCCCACCCCCAACTGGAAACAAAAAACCCTGTTTTACAAAAATAAGATTTATTATCAATAGTTTTTTTTTTTTTTGCAGTCAAATCATTGCAAGATTTGACTCTCTTATTATGCTTACATATTCTGTAAGACCCCACTTATCACCTTGACTGTGCTTGCCACTCTTAATCTCTAACCTCAGTATTGTTCTTGTGTGGTCTACAGCAATTTGCAGTAAAACAGTGCTTAGGTAGCACTGAAATGAATGTTGACGTGGCTGTTTTCTTTGTTGGCCTAGAAGTCTTTTTCAGGACGGGACCATGCTAGTCTCTGGAGCCCTGATACTTAAGACACAATTGGAAGTTTAGTGCTTCTACCACCCTCTGAGTAGAAATTATTGATAACCTTTTAAAATGAGAAAACTAAAGTCACAAGGCAAAAAAGGACAGTCATGACTTGAGCTCAAGCATACTCTAGGATGGTTGGCAATGAGGATGGGAGGCTTTGATAACAGTCAACCCTAAAATTGGGGTAAGAAAACCTGAGTAAAATAGGGACAGTGAGTGCTGTCCCAGCAGTACAAAATTGGATACTGGCTTTGTCTGAAGTTGACCACTGGGTAAGCCTTAGCCCCAGGACTTGGCCCAGCTCCAGTCTCTCTTTCATCTAAAAATAGAGAAGAATCTGTCTCAGCTAATTTTAGCTTGAGGCATCTAAGTAGTAACATTCCACCTGTTTCTGGAGATGTTGAGGCTTGCTGGTTTGGGATTTACCTTTATTACTTTACCATCAAAAACATGTGCAAAAGGCACTTTAATAATTCCTTTTATGAACACTGTGCTACTTTGACCTCGTAATAACTGGAAGATACGCCCTTTGTCTAGAAGATGACTCAGGTTTAAAGGTTGAAAGTGTCTTACTTGGTTGCCCAGGTCTTAGTGAAAATAATAGTATTCTGGAATTAGAAAGCCTTGACTTTCAGCCTTAGCCCTTACACTTAGTGGCTGGATTATAGCTCTGAGTTTCTCATCTGTGTAATGGGATAGTAGAAGCTCATTCACAGGGTTCTTGTGTAGATGAGAATAGATGTGAAGTTGTGTCATTCTTGGCATTCAGTAGGTACTTGATGATTTGTGGTTTTCACTTCCCTTTCTTCTGGGATTGAGGAACTACTAGCCATAGTCATTGCCTTCTAGGAAATTAAAGTGTAATCCATTTGGATTGCTAGCCATCTCAGTAGTTTGGCATCTGGTATCAAGAGTAGGTGCTAATAAACTAAGTAATGTGCTCTTTCAAAGAAAATGTAGCTACTTGTAAGTGGGTCATCTTTGATTCCATGGTCTCTGGAACACATACTCCTTATATGATGGCTCAACTTTCTAAACTGGAATTGTATCTTAACTGGGTTGATACAGTGCCATGATTTTTCTTTCGATATTGGAGGAGCTTTTTTTGGGTAAAGGAATTTTACCTTTCATTGCCCACACAGTGCTTTTAAACATTTCTTGAGCCATCTGGAGAGCTTTGATTTATACAAGTTTATATTTATTTATTTATTTATTTTAAAGATTTATTTCTTTATGTATAAAGAGCAGGGGTTGAGAGGATTCACCAAAGACAGACTGGGGCGCAGAACAGGCAGATCTACCAAAATACACTGCTGAGGGGAGCAGGAGTTGAGACGGGAGAAGTTCTCTGTTCTCTGTGGATCAGGCTCCTGGAGGGGGGGGGGGTTTGAATTCGTGCTGCAGTGGTTGCAGATAGCTTTATAATGCTGGATGCTGGGACTTAACCTATTGTGCCACCAGAGAAGCCCCGAAAAGTTTATATTTAAAATGAGATAATTAGAAGACCTTGGAAACATTATTGGCTGACTTACAATGTTGTACCTAGAAAAGGCTTACTTTGATGGAAAACTATCATTTTTTTATTCTTTTGAGATGCCAGGAAGTGAATTTAGTAGCTAAGATAGTACTTTAGGAAAGACAAATAGAAAGAGACCTTCCTTTGGATATTCATTGAAGACTGAGGATAATATTTTTCTTTGTATTCTATTCTCAGTGGAGATGAATGTAAAACAACTAACAGTATGCGGGCACCTGGAATTTCTAGTGTGAACTTCAGATGGCACAATGGCTTTACCCGATGACATGACATTTGATAGACTTCAGGTTTAAATCGTTTTTCTTTGGATTCATGATGTATTGAGGGTATTTAAGGAGCTATAAGCCAGTGGAAACTACAGTTTTTGAAACTATGGGTCACCTTGTTTGGGAGGACTCTCTTGAAAACAGGTTAAAAATACTTAATTCTGGGAGGGTCTTCTCTACTGTGGGCAGGGCCCAAAGCACTAGTAATTCTGATAGGTCTTTCACATACTCTCTAGATGAAGAGAACAAATTGAAAACTAGGAAGCCTTTTTTCTTTGTATCTGGACTCTTAAGACCCTTTCAGATTTTAAAATCATTAGTAGATGAGAATCCTATTATTAAAATTACCGTTGTCGCTTTTTCTTCCGTTGAGCACAGATGAAGCAGTTGGCTTATGGCAGTGGTTTTCAAACTTCATTGTGCATCGGAACCATCAAGAGGGTGATTAAAGTTTCTGATTCAGTAGACATGGAGTAGGGCTTGAGAATTTTTATTTCTTACAGATAGCAAAGTGATGCTAAAGCCAGGGACCACTTGCTTATGGGTAGGGACCACATTGTGTGTGTGTGTGGGGGGGGGTTGGGGGGTTGGGGGGGTATTAATTATAAAATCCTGGTTTCACTTGGGGCAATTAATAAGTAGGTCAGACTATAGGAAGTATAGCTTCACACCTCCAACCTGAACACTTTTTAAGTTTTGATGCCAAGCACATGTTTAATGAATAGAAAAGTGGGTGGAATTGCCTACATGTTTTTGTCTTTAAAGCTCAAGTGCTCTTAGTTGCATTTATATACATATTCAGTCTGTGTATGGTAAACACTTGTGTTTTTCTTGACATGGTAGCACCTGTTTTAACTTCTCTCCTGAGTTGTAATCAAACTCTCTGAGAGTTGTGGTTGTGCTTTACTTGTCAGAGGCTTCCCAGCCTGGAGTAATTTGCACTTAAACACATAGCTGGACTTCATTTCAGCATGACATGACATGACAGATGTGACACTAACAGAGACTTAAAATTCCTCTGCCTGTTTTTTCTTCTCTGTAAATGAAACTGTCTTTCAGTGCTTTGGAATTATTTTGGCCTCAGCATTTTACTTTGTGCGTCCCCAAACTCCTTTTTAATGACTTAAAAAATAATTACTTGAAAAAAGATTAGAAAATCATTTTCCTTTTGCAGAGGAAGATTTTACTTGAGTGAATCCTCAAATTGTAGTTGTTACTGTGACAAAATTCTGTTACTTCTCAGTAGAGTTATGTAGATAGTTGTTTAAAATGTCCTTTCTGTTTCAGTTTTTATACTGCTTGGGATCTGGCCCTCATGTTTGATGTTGACTTCACAATGGCAGAGAAGTAGGTCTTAAAAAATATTTATGGTAACTTTGTTACCTGTAAAGCTTGTATAGGGAATTAAGAGATTGTTACACCTTAGTACTTATGGTCTAGGTGAGAAATGGAAACAAACAGGTTTAAATAAGAGGACCCTGCAGTGATGGTAGAGAGGTAATTAACCTCTGAATGTGATACACGTTGAAAAAGCCAATAAATGTTTGCTGCTCATAGAAGAAAGGGGAAAAGAAACCGTAGTAGACCTTGG